GATGATCCGCCGTATCAGGGGAGGTCTATGTTTAGGATGCTGGCTCTGCATCCTTTGAGGCAGGTCCCCGCTCACAAGGTTATAGTTCTGCCTCCTCATGGTCAACACTGGCTTCATCGTGTAAACCAGTAGGCTACTCAGAAATGACCATTTTCAGACCTTTTATTTAAAAAAAAAGAGAATGAAGTAAAGATCTAACAATGTTAGAATAAATAAGTAGCTTTACATTAAGTTGAAAATCTCAAATTGTACATAGTTAAGTCACACTTACACTATCATCCATGTTTACTCGATTGGCTGGTAAATAGAGTCCTTGCTCAATTAAGGACTGTAAGGTTTGCTCTCTTTATCGGTTAAATTAGGTTTTAAAAAAGTTTTTTTTGTTGAAATGTTTCAGCTTATCTAATTTTTTTCAGTTATAAATTAAAATTATTAAATGTTCTCTAAATGCTATTAGATATAAGTTGACCTATTTCTATGCCTGAGTTAAAAATAATAATAAAAGCAATTAGGTGAGCAAGATCTGTATTTACCCAACATGTAATGGAAAAGCATGTAGTTTCTGTCTCTAAATGGATGTTTTCTGTTTATAGTTGTTATAAGGTTGGAGATGTGTCAGAGGCTGACTGTTAAAAAAATATCACCTTGCTGATCTGTGGCAGGCCGCTGCAAAAACAACTAAAGCCTTTTGCAGAGACAGTGGCCTCACAGGCTGGTTAATGTTTTCTCCAATTGTTGCAGATAGTCAGAGGGAATGGTTTCCTGCACTTCCACCCAAAGATTCAGCCTCAGTGAGTCATTGTTGCCATATAAACTAAAGTATGATTGTAAAACACTTAGCAACGTTTTACACAGGGCATTGGTCACCAGAATCGTCCCCTATTATTATGGAAGGGAAATCCATTCCAAAAATAACAAAAAACAATAAAGCACTTTAATCAGATTGTGTTTTAAAGTTGAGTTGAACGCATAGATTAAACTTTAATAACTCGGTTTGTTTTTATATTCATTGAACAGCATTGATTTATTCTTCCTCGTCTTTAGTGCCCCATGGTGGGGGCAAAATAACTTGCAAATTGGCATCTGGCACCAAAATGTAACTTGCAGATAAAATCCTAAGTGTTGCCCATTGTTTCCTGTTTGTTAAACACATTTGACAGCAAAATAATCACTTAAAGCCTCATATATCATTAGTCAGCCTTATTTCCGTCATAAATTCAGTGGTTTTATTTACCTTCCTGTTTTTACTCGTTCTGAATATGTGATTTCTTAACTCTAAGCTTACATAATGTGGTGTTTTTACCATAATAGATTCTTCAATTTTTATTTTGTGCTTATTTCAAGAAATAGATACTTTAAAATGGATGAATAATTAGGGTTTTCTTGATGAGAACTTTAGAGATGTTAGCAGTTAATGCATTTTTCCCCCTTAGTTTTTGTAACAGCCTGAGACTTTTCACATTTTTTTCTGGTTTCAATGATCTTGTTGTGTTTAATCGCCTGTTCTTAATGCTTCTTTATATGTTTTTGTAATTTTCCCAGTGCATTACCTTGTTGCAGCTACTGTTGCTTTAAAATGTTTTGCAACAGTAATAGTACTGTACTGTTTCAATTGTTAACCCAAATATCTGATTTTACTCTGTGGTCTAATTTTTCTATACCTGCCTTTATTGCATGACAATGCATGTTTTCCTTCTTATAGTCTCAAGTTTTCTTTTAAACATTTTTTTTTTTTTTTTCAGTTAAGCTTGCCTTGCTTTATAAATGCCGGATTTGCAGAGTGGCAGATTAAAATGTGACTCTCTGCAACAGATCTTTCATGCCTGCTTCTTATATTGATGCTAAGTGAAACATTAAAACCTTTGGGAAACAGTCAAAACATCTTTACATCTTCAATCCTGACTAGTCTGGTAAGGGGGAAGTGTTCATCATTGGCTCTTCATATTCATAAAAAGGTAGATTAAGTTTTATTCTGGGGCATCAGAATAAAGGGGACTCAAGACGAATGACCAGCACCCTCTGCCTTTTTTTAATAAAAGACACACAGTGTAAATAAAGTCATGTGGCATTACTTTAGCAGACTTCTTTACATTTGCTTTTACCATATTTTGAATGCTAAAGCTTTTCTAAATTCAGGGATTTATCTTCTTAATGGCTGCTTGCATCTAGAGTTGTTGATGCGCTGAGATTTTCTTTGTACAACAGGAAGATCATGTGAGATGTTTATGGCCTTGAATGCAAACAATCACAGGAATTATCTGCACCTGGCACCTCTCATACATCTATTTTAGTTGACCGTGGCTAGGCCTGTTCTGAGTTGAAACTGTATGGTGAAGGTACTATTTTAAATGCTCAAAAGGCAAGAAGTTTGGACTTTATAGGCAGGGCTGTAGTCCCATTAGTTGCCAACATTTTAAACAATATATGCATTTTATTTTGAAAGGACATATTTACATTGTTAATGAAGCTTTACATGAAATATTTTCCTATGCCAAAATGTCATCTCTTCAGAAATGTTACAGAAAAATAAGGGGTGTACAAATGCATTTTAAATGGGCCTTCAGACCAGAGAATGTCGAGTCACTTTGCAGCTGAGCTTGTAAAATGGCTCCCCTTGTGGTTATAGTTTGTAAGCCACCTCCATAGATAACATCACAGCTGCAGCCACTTAAGGGAGGTACGGTAAATAAAACCAACTTGTTGCCGTTTTTATAAGCAAATCAAACCAGAATAGCTCAGATTATCAGATATTCTTTGTGGTTTCTCTAGATTGAACACTTGACATCTTTTTGTAACGACTACTGCAGTCTGAAAATTATTCAGCCTGTTCTGACCTGAAAAAATGATTAATAGACACGAGCTTTTGAGATCATTTTTGATTAACCAACCTATTGCTCATGCTCTGTGGTGCTGCATCCCTCTTCAAATAACACCATAGTTTTATAGGAGTTTCGGTGAGATGTCGAGAAATTCTGCCACAGGTTCATTGTTGCTTCAGATTAATCAGACAGGGCTTTCTGATTTCATCTCGTCTCTGCAGCCTTCTAGTTCCAGAGGAAGAAAAACATCCCCACAGTATCACTAAACCGTGCTTCATTAGTGGCATTTCCTCCAAGTCCTACACTTAATTCTTCTCCCGGGCTGATGAATCGTCTCAATAAATGGTTCCAGCTATGATTCATTGCTTAGCACAGGGTCCAAAACCATATTTATATGGTTGTGAGCTACTTGAATTAGACTTTTCTTCTGCATTTAGGTAGATTTTACACGTACATTTCCTTCTGTGGAGACCAATCTTCAGCGGCTGATGCAATCATGTCTCGACCACCTACCTCTTCTGGGAGCAGGCGGCCATCGCTGACAGCTTCCTCTTGTATTCGGTCTCCTTTGTTGCAGCAAAATCTGAGCTTTTTAAATAATTTCCTTTATTAAACTTCTAAAACACCCAGCAGCAGTCCAGGTATGTATGGTATTCCTTTCAAGGACAACTGAAGCTGCTAATGAAGCCCTTGATTTCAGGGGATGACAGAACTTAGGATAAAGTGTTTGAATAAAAGAAAATCCTCATTAATTTTAGTTCAGTGCAATTAAATATTCTGAATGTTTTAATATTTACAGTTAAGTGGGTGAATAATGTTAATGCCTGTGCCGTTTCTAAAAATATAAAAAGTAATCTATTGAAGCAATCTTGACACTACAGCTGCACAACTTCAGCATAAACAAAAGAGAGGAGACTCCTCTTACTTACTCAACTCAGTTTATTTACAGCATGTTTGAAGAGCCATGTAAGCAAATGTACTCAAATTATTGACAGAACTCCTTTGTATCAGTACACAAGGGGAGCTGATTTATCAGTTTGATCTCCAATTATCTCCATTTAGCTGCTTAAACCACTTCCTACCATGAACTCCTGCTGGAAAAACAATAAATTAAATGTTTTAGGGCCATCCATGTTCAAATAGAAAAAACATAGCAGTTAGTAACTGGATGACAAATCTAAAGAACAACCTTTGAACATTAACTTCTCCTCCCCCCCCCCCCCCCCCCCCCCCCCACCCTACAACAAAAATGTATTTTACAGCATGTTGTAAGTCCTAACCCCGATATGATTTGGGCTGTTGAGACATCCTGACCAAAGCAATCATCGTTCGGTTTCCCACCCAAGTCGTTTACCCCATCCAACACTAAATCTTTTAGTGATAAAGGAAATGTTTTATATAACATTAACCGTCTTCTACCAAACTGACCTTATACTCCCCCCAATCTGGAGTCAAGTAAATGCACTTGCATAATCATTAATTATTACATTAGTATCACAGACAGATCCAATGTTAAGTATGGCTGACTCAAAAGAAAGGATATTAATAACCATATAAACTGGTTTATGTTGCCTTGGTTATGTTTGGGCCGGATGAATGCCTTTTTAAAACAGAAATAGATGAGGTGGCAGAAGTAAAAAATGCCATCTTCAACACTCCTAAACCATTCTTTAAAGAAATTTTTTTCTGTTGTTGATCTAGATGCGTCGGGATGAACGTAAGTCACGACAAAGTTACCCGGCTCACCCTCCCCAGAGAGTTTATAAGGATTACTGACCTCAAAATAAGAAAAACTTAAAATAAGAGCATCCAATTCTATATTTCCTTTTATTATCAAGGCTAACGCACACGATTTACTTCACTGATCAAATTTTAATGTAGAGATAAAAATGGACGAATGCGAGAAGAGTTTTGGTATTCTTGAAAAATAAAAACCTAATGTAACACGGATCTTCAAGACAATTTAAAAGAAATGAACCCCTCTTTATTATTTTTGGTGCTAAATCGTTCTTTTCTACCAACTTAATTTTTTTGTAAGAATTTAGAAATGTATCCCCCCCCACCCTTAGAGTGACGATGCGTTTTACATTCCCTCATTGAATAAATGTGTAAGAAAAGAAACTTTTTCACTCTGCGCTGCTTAAACACAAAAGACATACAGATGTGCTGACAAATGATGGGTTTGTTAAAAGAAAAAAAACTTTAATGAATGAATAGTTTCGCAAACGTACCAGTCTGTGACTAGCTCAGGACAACATATTGCATGTACTTTAAGACATGGGGAGGGTGTTGATGCTTGTCCATGCATTTAAATAGCAACACGGAGAAAAACAAAAAAAGAAAACAAAGGCCAACACACATTTAACGCGTCTTAAGAGAGGAAAACATAAGTCACCCAGGGGTCTGCAGCAGTAAATCTCATTTCTTTCAAATATATTTGGACTTATTTCTTTTTTTTTTTTATGTGTCCGTTAAATTCAAAGGTTGACAGAGTAGGAGTACATTTTGTGGATCACATTCAGACGCCTCTTCGATTCCTCTATACTTCAGTGTTGCTCGCGTAGAGCCTGGTCCATGTTCGGGCTGCAGAGGGGTGCGGGATAGGGGAGGGAGGAGGGGAGAGAAACAGGAAGCTTGTAAAGTCATGCAGGGTGGGTATAAGTAATATGCCTGATTCTAATCAGTTACCAAATTATTCTTATCTATTGGTTTGAGCATTTTTGCTTAAATCAACTTAAAACAAACGGCTAAAACATTTTCTGCCACTTTACGTTCATGAGCTGCATTCTGACTTGAATGAAATAAACTTCTACACATAATTAAGTTAATTTGGAAAGTAAGGGAGTTAAAAAAAAGGTTTCTTATGTTAAATGTGTTTGCTGCTCAGATTTTTTGTAAAACAAAAATTTGTAAAACATAAGACATTTGAATGAATCTACAGGATATTTTTCAAAGGTCATCAGACTTCAAATACGGAGCCTGAAAACTAAAAAGATGGATAGGAATGGAGAGCATAACAGATCTGTAAATCCAAAACTTTATTTCTAGGTTCTGTACTTGTTGAAAGGCGCAACATCTTTAAAACTCAAGTTTTTTTCAGACTGCATGGGAACAACATTACCTGTTCCTATATTAGGAAAAAATAAATAAATCACTTCAGAGACCAGAAAAGTTGCCTCTCTGTCTAAAACCTTTCAAAAGACGGAGAGAAAAATCATGGATTAACTAACAGAGGAGGACAAACGATGGACAATGAATTGGGGGTGGAAGGGATGAAGGACAAAATGGAAGAAATGTGACATAAACAAAAAGATGGACCTCAGACTGATAAACAAGGCTTGAAGGCAAGAAACAGTCTTGATTTACCAATAATTATAAATATTCCTATTTCCCAGACTTTCCCATTACAAAAAACACTTTTCAAACTTTTCAAAACCCGTTAACTAGAAAAGAAGACCTGAATTTCGATTAGCTTTGAAACTTCATTATTTCGATCTTTAATAAAACTTTTCAACACGGACCATCTGTGCTGCATTTATCAAACAAAAATAAAAAAGTGGAGCCCCTCTAAGGGTTTCAGACAACAGATTATACAAACAATACATACAAAGGCCACTGAAATTCTCCATTCTTATCTATGTGATACGACACTTTCATTAGCTTGACCTGCCTGGTTTCAATGTAAGGATGCATGTTTTTTTTCCAGTATAAAAATGGAGGACTAACCTCTTCCAAGAACGTAAAACCAATTTTTAATCTTGAATAAGCAGCTGTTTTACCAGCAATCCATAGAGAGGGAATTAGCAAGATAATCTGACCTCAAGCTGTTCAACAGTCAGCTTCAGGAGCTCCTCTGTTGGAACTCATAAAAAGATTGCCTGAGATAAGATCACAGGATTTAACTGCATGTTTGAGGTTCATTGACATTTTTAAGGAAGAGAAACTGTTGCTGAAGGAGAGGTTTGGTAGAGAAAAAGCAATAAACGGCAATGCCTCAAAAGTTATACCCTTTACCTAAATGTAGAGTGAATAAGCTGACTCAGCTTATTCACTAGGTAAAGGTATGGAATTATTGTTTAAGTTTAAATATGAAAAAAGGTATAGATCCACTGATGAAGATTTTACTGACTGCTAATCTTTGCCGATTCCTTATTTTTTTCTAACCATGACAAAAAAAAATAGAAGGAAAAAACTTGCATGTTATTTAATAAAAAAAGAATGAATAAAGAATTCCCCAAATAAAGAATTAAAGCACTTAACCTTTTAATGAGATATTGTAATAATTAAAGCGAGGGGAAAGTAAATAAGCATTTCTTAATAATTTCTTTGGGATTAAGGAAAAAACAGGCCAGTTTTAAACTGGATGGATGATGAGTTTCTTAAATGAATGCTATGACCGGACCACTGTGCTCCCTGTTAAAAAACCATTTCCTGCAGAATCAAATAGGTGTTACCGAACACCTGAAAGAGTAATGAACACTTTTTGTAGCCCGAGCTGTTTAAAGCAATATAAATACAGCTTACAGATACTGGGATAACAATATATACAATATATTCTGCAGCCCTACTCTACAGTTGACCAAATCTGCCCAAGCTTTTGTCTCCAAACAAACAAGCTGAATACATGCTGATTAATTTCAAGGGCTGCCAACATGAGCTTCTTCTAAAGGCTCCAAAACCTTTTATCTTTCCGATGAACATTGGTACAGAGTATGCTAAGATGCAGGTACTGCATAGCCAGCCTAATCAGCTTTTTAACTAAATAAATCTGTATATTAATTCATTTTTGTTTTTAGTTAATACATACAAGTTATTTACGGGTTGCACTTCTGAGAATAGGCTGCTAATCCTGACAAGATAACAACATCCCACATACTCAGCATTTTTTTTTATTCACCTTTAGGATTCCCTCTAACCTCTTCACCCCCTGCTTGTGTTTACAGTACAGTAATGTTAAAGCTGCAAGCAGAGTGGGCATCATGAAGTTTGTTAGGTTGTTGTTCCTCTGCAGCCTGAAAAACTATCACCAAGCTTTAGATGTGGGTGGAATTTCAAAGATCTGGAATTCAGCTAATGTTTGCAGCCATCTGTCAAAGCTTTTCTCCAGCTACGAATAAGTGACGACCCAAAGGAGCTGCAATGCAGCTTGGTGCTCCCATTCCTTTGTATTTTTCAATAAATCAAAAATAGAAATGAAAGAATAAATCTTATACGGACCTGTCTCAATGGCATGGCTTTCGTTTTTCTTCCACTGCTCTGCGACGTCATTTGCCAGGGGATCGTCTGGGTTAGGAGCACTTAATAATGCCTGGATGGATAGCAACACTGTGCGTATCTGCAGGGCTGGAGACCACTTGTCTGTTTAAAGTAAGATAGAAAAGACAAATATTTACACCAATGCCAAATTTCTGAAACCAAGGAAACATCCAAAAGAACGTAGGGGATTATAAAAACATAACAGATGAAGAAACCGCAGTAGCAAGTGAAATAATATCAATAACTGAATAAAATAAGCTGATAATTGTGGAAAAAGCTGATTAAAGGGATCAAAATGATCGGTCTCCTTGCAACATAACGTTAGAACCTAACAAACAATGTTTTTTTTATGTCAGAACAACATAAAGTAGTGAACAATTATGAAGTTGAAGGAAAATTATACATAGTTTTAATATTGTTTTACATATTGGGTGTATTTCCGCTGTCTCAGAGCTTCAGAGAAGGATCCCACAGCGCATTTATGCCAAAAATAAATCAGTTGGTGCAACTTATCAAGGGTGATGTGCAGATGTGTCTTTTGGTCACACTTAGCTTTTGCACATGCAAAAAGTCCCTTCTTGTTAAATACACTATATGTTCTCTATTTGCTGCATAATATTTCGGGATATCAGAGTAGAGGGGTCGAAAACAATTAAAAATGGGCAGTGTTCAGTTGAAGGTATCATATTTTGGTTTTATTTAAAAAATATTTTGGTACAGCAGCTCCATAAAGTAATGTAACCGTGCCAAGAAAAAGCACTATAAATAAAAGACATATCTTTAAACATACTAACATTTATGAGTGCTCATTGCTTTTAGCTAGCAATGCGTACAGCCGTGCATTGTATGGCCTTTACTAAAAAAGTTGCAAATTTTTATGCTCTGTTGTTCCCCTGGAAACTTCGCTCAAATGTTCTAAATTTCACAAGCAGCAGCTGCTGAAGCTGGAAAAATTTAACTTTTGCTCCTCGACGAGCCCCATCAACCAATTAGAGGAGATATTCTGGGAGCTGGAAGGAAGACAGAGCAATGCTGATGCAGAGCGCTATGATCGCTCCACTGAAACTATTTATTAACACGTAAATTAACTTAAAATGCTGAAACCTGCTGGGCAAATATGTTTGCTCTTATTATACAGGTGCTTGCAGTTTGTACCAGGTACCTGAAAAACACTAATATCTACTTCCAGCTGCCACCGACAGGGGGGGAAAAGCCCCAAGAGGAAGCTGCTGCCGGGGATCCTATGTGACAGCGCACTGTTCACTATAGGGGTCTGAGCGACCCGGACAGTGAAATAATACTTTAAGGCAGGATCGTAATCTTAATGAACTGACTGCACAGACAATGTTTTCAGGAGGACTTTTTTTCACTTAACAATATATTTAAACTACTTTTTACCCATTTATGACAGTAAATATAGCAAAGCCGCTCTCTGCCATTGAAAACAGGAGCAGCAGCAGCATCAGGACGCACTAATGCGTACAAGCATAAAAAAAATTAAGCAGCAGACACTTTTTTTCTGCTCAAATTGCAGCGTGAACGTAGCATTATGTCTTCCTTATGAAATTTCCACCTCTAGTCAAGCACACAAACTTCCCATAATCAGGACTAAAGTAGTGTTGTAACAAAGACAAAAATAGCTGCATCCTACCTCAAAATGCAGGAAATGGTCTAAATTTCAAAATTTTCCCGTACACCGCGCAAACCCTAATGATGTTATAAACCAAGGTTTACACCCTATGAAATATTCCTAGCTATAATCCTGCATGAAGATGAAAATTGGCTTAAATAGCAGATTTAAGTCTTTATCACTACCCTGGTAAATATGAGTTGCATTACACTGAGATTACATTAATCACAAGTGTGTTTTTGTGTTTTTAAAAATTATTTAGAATTTAGTATTTGTTCTACCACAGGAATAAATGAAGAGATATCAGAGAAAATAGGTAATATGTTTTATACCTTTTTAGATTTTCATTTATAAAACAAACAGCTTTGTTTAGGGTCTTAGAAGTCTTTTTCTGCATGGGTGCACATGACATAAGGAGATGCTTTAAACTCCATCACTGTATCTTAATATTAAAAGTTAAAGATCTGATTAATGAAATTTCAATGTAGAATAAGCTTTAAAGTTAATCAGCCGTTTGCAAATAAAGGTAATGTTTTAAATACTATAAGCGTTCAAAATGGATTTTGCTTCAACACGGAGGGTAGAACAACCAAACAATAAACACAATAAAACAATTTTCTATTAAACTATAAATCTTATTGCTTATAGGTTCTGTGTGATGAGTAAAAGCTGAAAGGAGTATTTAGTATTCAAAGAACAAAGTTCAAATAGTCTGATAACAAACATGCCTATTAAAGTCATAAATAAAAACTAAAAAAGGTAAATGGGCACATTTCTAATCAGAACCAATAGCTTTGCAAAGTCACTTAGAATTAAAATATCCCTTTTGATGTTTAAGATGTGCAAATCAGACTTTATGTCTTTAAAATGTTAATATTTAGAGCTAATGAGAAGGAAAGGTAAAATAAGAGACTCATTCTTACCTTTCAAGATGTCTAAACATATTCTTCCAAGTTTGTCGACGTTGGGGTGATAGATTTTGGTCATGAATCGCACTTTAGGAGCTGCCATGGGATACTCTTCTGGAAGAAATAGTTCAAGTTTGAACGTGCCCCCCTCGAACGGAGAGTCTTGAGGACCTGCGATGACCACATGGAAGTAGCGTGCGTTCCCGTCGTCAGGCGTAGCTGTGATCCCCGGGACAGGCTCTTGCATCAACCGCTGTGTCTCCTGCATTTACGGGAGGACGACAACATGCCTGCTTGTTCAGATTTCTCTTTAAACATAGAAAAGACGGCATTCCAGGTGCCGCAGAACAAGTCACTGATCCTTATAAACGATATCCAAAAATCAAACAAACAAAGATTGATCTTAAGCCTGTTAAATGTTGCATTCATCTGCCAAATTACGCAGTTCTTTTGTTTGTCTGTACTGGATTCAAAGCAAGAAGCACCCTCAGCAGCGCAGCAGTGTTTGGCTTTGCAACTAAAATCTGTGACGTTATGGGCCGACAGACACATTAAAACACACTGGAGGGAATATTAGTAGCTGCTGCTGTTAAACCACAGACATAGTGGGTGCAGGCTGGCACAGACATACAGGTGCTGGTCATAAAATTAGAATATCATGAAAAAGTAGATTGATTTCAGTAATTCCATTTAAAAAGTGAAACTTGTATATTATATTCATACATTACATACAAACTCATATATTTCAGATGTTTATTTTGTTTAATTTTGATGATTACAAATGACAACAAATGAAAATCTCAAATTCATCATATCAGAAAATTAGAATATTGTGAAAAGGTTCAAAATTGATGGCCCCTGGTGCCACACTCTAATCAGCTAATTAACTCAAACCACCTGCAAAAGCCTTTAAATGGTCTTTCAGTCTAGTTCTATAGGCTACACAATCATGGGGAAGACTGCTGACTTGACAGTTGTCCAAAAGACGACCATCGACACCTTGCACAAGGAGGGCAAGACACAAAAGGTCATCGCTAAAGAGGCTGGCTGTTCACAGAGCTCAGTGTCCAAGCACATTAATAGAGAGGCGAAGGGAAGGAAAAGATGTGGTCGAAAAAAGTGTACAAGCAAGAGAGATAACCACACCCTGGAGAGGATTGTGAAACAAAACCCATTCAAAAATGTGGGGGAGATTCACAAAGAGTGGACTGCAGCTGGAGCGAGTGCTTCAAGAACCACCACACACAGACGTATGAAAGACATGGGTTTCTGCTGTCGCATTCCTTGTGTCAAGCCACTCTTGAACCACAGACAGCGTCAGAAGCGTCTTGCCTGGGCTAAAGAGAAACAGGACTGGACTGCTGGTGAGTGGTCCAAAGTCATGTTCTCTGATGAAAGTAAATTTTGCATTTCCTTTGGAAATCAAGGTCCCAGAGTCTGGAGGAAAAGAAGAGAGGCACTTCATCCACGTTGCTTGAAGTCCAGTGTAAAGTTTCCACAGTCAGTGATGGTTTGGGGTGCCATGTCATCTGCTGGTGTTGGTCCATTGTGTTTTCTGAGGTCCAGGGTCAACGCAGCCACATACCAGGAAGTTTTAGAGCACTTCATGCTTCCTGCAGCTGACCAACTTTTTGGAGATGCAGATTTCATTTTCCAACAGGACTTGGCACCTGCACACAGTGCCAAAGCTACCAGTACCTGGTTGAAGGACCATGGTATCCCTGTTCTTAATTGGCCAGCAAACTCTCCTGACCTTAACCCCATAGAAAATCTATGGGGTATTGTGAAGAAGAAGATGCAATACACCAGACCCAACAATTCAGAAGAGCTAAAAGCCACTATTAGAGCAACCTGGGCTATCATAACACCTGAGCAGTGCCACAGACTGATCGACTCCATGCCACGCCGCATTGCTGCAGTAATACAGGCCAAAGGAGGCCCAACTAAATACTGAGTGCTGTACATGCTCATACTTTTCATGTTCATACTTTTCAGTTGGCCAACATTTCTATAAATCCTTTGCTTTTATTGGTCTTCAGTAATATTCTAATTTTCTGATATGATGAATTTGAGATTTTCATTTGTTGTCATTTGTAATCATCAAAATTAAACAAAATAAACATCTGAAATATGAGTTTGTATGTAATGTATGAATATAATATACAAGTTTCACTTTTTAAATGGAATTACTGAAATCAATCTACTTTTTCATGATATTCTAATTTTATGACCAGCACCTGTAGTGGGTGCAGGCTGGAAAATAACCTGCAAATATCCCACTTAGTGGTTTCACTCTGCAAGTTTTAGCTAAACGAGCCCCATTGTAAAAACATGCAAACTATCCTAATCAGAAATTATAAACTAGAGAGCTACATTAAGATCCTTTGGTCATAAGAAATAGCCACATTTAAGGGTTTAACTGATTCCATCATGCACTTTAGATCATTTTATTAGAAGAAATAATAAACATATTTCCCTTTATTTGGCAGATTGAGCAGGTGCAGTAGCATTAGTGAGTGTCTGATTCAAACTAACACCACATTAGGTGGAAGACAAAATGCAAAACGAGAATCCAGAAGCTGGTTTCACTTTGTCAACTTGACAGTGCAGGCAGCAAAACCTGCCAAACCTGAGGCTCAGCGTGGCGGAAAAGGCTGACCGCGCTCACTGACTGTGTTGTACCGAGAGAGAGGAAAAAAAACACACCCTTGACTGAAATACCTCCTAAAGGAAGTGTTTTTATGAACGCTTCTAAGCCATCTTCAGAGATGCTGACTAAGACGACGATTTTTACCAATTATGAATTCCTGAAACACGCTTCCTTTAAGGGAGGGGGGTCTTTACAGACATGGGTGGGGGTTTTTTTTTTCGGCATAACACTGGGCCAGGCCCAAAAAAAGAAGCTGCGGTGCGGCGAAAGGGAGGAAACCGCAGCGCAACTGGACTCACAATAACACATTCTTAGACAGTCCTTTCAATAATATAGAAGCAGAAACAAAACGTTTCCCCCCCAAATGAAGGCAAATTCAATATTTCACGAAGGGCAGAGTTTCACAGAAAGCGCGAGGCATGTGTGGGAACCATCGAGGCTACAGCAGCTAGCCTAGCTCGAATGCCAAATTCATTCATATGGGGACTGCGTTAAATTTGATATAATTAGCAAGTTAGTGTTATCAGTTCGGGTATAAATACATAGAACTTTAAATTAGATCAAGTTTAGGCATAAAGCAGACGAGAATTGACTACACGGAAGTGTCAGACATCAGTTGCAGTGAAGCGAATTAGCTCGGCAGCTAGCAAGGCAGAGGCTAACTATGCTAACGAAATAGCTACGAGCAACAGCAGTTTGGATTTATTTTACACATAATCACCGACAGATCGGCAGAAAACCCTCACATTGGCTAGTATATTAGTATATATATGTTTAGTTTCTATGTGTACCTTTATAATCCTACGAGGCAGACCGGCCATCTTGTGTTAGCAGTTATATTTGTAGCCGCTGACTCGCCCTATCTTCAGGTTGGATTGAGCGAAGTGTTGGGGCGGGGCCTAATAACTCACTCCTCCGGACCGGTAAATTCAGATGACCTAACGGCCGCACTGATTCAGCAGCTTGGCTTCACATACAATAAATAACATTTATTTTGTTAGATTTATTTCTCTTAAGTACATATTTAATAATTACGGAAGAGGATTAGGGCCACTGACAAAAAAAAAAAAAAAGAATCGGTCCGCGCCAGATGACGTCAATGTTTACCTCGGGCGCGGTGCATCGTGGGAAAACCACCATATTAGGTGGAAAGTCGAGATAACCCACACGCGGCTGTTCTTTCGGCACAATTATTTACCAGAAATGACACGATCGTGTTGTGTGAGAGGCTGCCAGTCCAGCAAAAAAGGCCCCAGCTTTTTCATTTTTGGCTTATAAGCATCTTTTATGATGACAACTAACCCCTGAAACTTTGGAGTTGATTGACCTTTATTTCTTAAAGTTATAAGGGGGGAACAAATTATAGCAGGCCACCTGCTATAATCTGTTCCCCCTGTCTAAATCAGGCAAAAAAGGCCCCAGCTTTTTCATTTTTTGCTTTTAAACATCTTTTATGATGACAACTAACCCCTGAAACTTTGGAGTTGATTGACCTTTATTTCTTAAAGTTATAAGGGGGGAACAAATTATAGCAGGCCACCTGCTGTAATCTATTCCCCCTGTCTAAATCAGTAGCATTTTCATCACCAGCATTTTCATTTTTGGCTTATAAGTATCTTTTATGATGACAATTTATTCCTGAAACTTTTTGGCCTGATTTAGACAGGGGGAACAGATTACAGCAGGTGGCCTGCTATAATTAGTTCCCTCCTTGTAACTTTAAGAAATAAAGGTCCATCACATCCAAAGTTTCAGGAAAAATTGTCATCATAAAAGATGCTTATAAGCCAAAAATGAAAATGCTGGGGCCTTTTTTGCCTGATTTAGGCAGGGGGAACAGATTACAGCAGGTTTTATTTCATCCCATTCTGCCAGTTCTGGCAATATGGGATTAAATAAAAAGGCTGATGTTAGAAGACAAACTGTTTATTAAGGATAGTACAACATAGATAAATTGTACGTTACTATAAACACAAATATAGATTTAAGTACTAAATTTCAACCAGGAAAAAATTATTTCCTTTTGCATATAGTCTTTAATGATTACACGTGCACTCCATTTTCTATTTCATTTTTATTACAAGTATATGGTTTACAACAGTTTTCAATGGGATGAGAACATTTGGACACTGTGAAACAATGAGAGATTTTTTATAATGAACGTATGGAAAAGAACAAGGATCTGTTTGCTTTCAGAGGGAGGAGTAGACACTGCTGTCAGCGACCAGCTTTCAAGCAAACGTTTGTGTTTTATAATTAGTTTTAAATCAATATCACTGGCGATATTCTGCTATAACATGTGAAGTAAAGAATAAAACAGTAAAGCTCAACTTTCATACACGTAAAACCTTTCAAATTTCAAGTTCTGCACATTGGAATTGAGGCGGACCAACTCGGGTTGTTCTTCCTACTCCGTGCGCGCTCCCGACGAGGGGATACAAATTTTGGCAGGGATAACTACCTTGGCACGACACCGGTACGGTAATTTCGCATTCTGCTTACTTTTTTCCATATTGTCAGAGAAACAAACTCAATCCTTTAGTCCTTCGTTTAGCTATGCTGCGGTTGTTTACACTACGCCTTTTCCACCAAAAATGGCGTCTTAGCAACAAATGTCACGTGACTGGCGGAGGAAAAAAAAAGTCAGAATTCTCACTTTAATCTGAGAATAAATTTTTTCCCCCTCACAATTCTGACTGTAAATCTCAGAATTTTGACTTTTCTTTTCTCAGAATTCTGATTTTAATATAAGAAATCTGACTTTAATCTCAGAATTCTGATTTTAATCTCAGAATTTCATATTATACTGAAATAAAATTTAAAAATCAGCTCACTTTTCTTATTTTTTCAGTGGCTCTAATCCTCTTCCGTAAGTACGGAGCAGGATTAGGGCCACTGTAAAAAAAAAAAAAAAAGTTAACTGATTTTGAAATTTCAGTAGATTATGACAAAATAGTCAGAATTCTGAGATTAAAGTCAGGATTCTGACTTTTTTTAAAATCAGAATTCTGATTTTAATCTCAGAATTCCGAGATTAAAGTCAGAATTATGACTTTTTCTCATATTATACAGAAATAAATGTAAAAAATCAGTTAACTTTTTTTTTTTTTCCGTAAATACGGAAGAGGATTAGTACGGAGGAGGGTTAGGGCCAATGGAAAAATAAAAAAAGTTAACAGATTTTTAATTGTTATTTTAGTATGAGAAAAAAGTCAGAATTCTGACTTTCTTCTCAGAATTCTGACTTTAATCTCAGAATTTTGGATCTTAATCCAAAAGGGCACCATGAAAGAAGAGATGTGGGACCTCTCAGCTTCACGGACAAAGATGTGAGTTGTTTGAGAGGGCCAGTGACACATTTTTGGATAATGACGGAATTAGGCGACTTTTTACGTGCCCGAGGGGTCCCCAGTGATATTTCATAAATGGTAGAGTAGAAGGTGATTAAAACAAGAGTTTAGTCTATAAAACAGACATGGTTACGGCTTGACGCTAATGTGTTTGTTAGCTGTCAGAATTCAGAGATTAAAGTCAGAAGTCTGAGGATAAAGTCAGAATTCTGGGATTAAAGTGAAAATTCTGACTTTTTTCTCATACAATACTGAAAATAATTTAAAACCAGTTAACTTTTTTCCAGTGGCCCTAATCCTCTTGCCTAAATACTAAACATGATCAAAGCTAAAAATTTAATACACATTTTAAGGTAATTTTCAAGAGAGACCTTTTATTTGTACGAATAGACACATTTTTTGTGATTTTTTTGTGTGTGGAATAATTCCATTAAATTTAAGATTTTTTTTTTTAACTCACTTTTTAAACTGGTAGCAAAGACTTCAACTGACAGCAGAGTTATGTGAGACTTACCTTTTTATTTTGTCAATTCTACTCTAAAACAGCATTTATGAAACACCAGTTTTAAATCAAACATATTTTCCACTGGTTTTAGTTCTGAACTTTGACTGGGCTATTCTGGTTGATAAATTCGGTCCTGGAGCTACTATCCTGGAACTTTAAGATGCATCCCTTCTTCAGCAGACCTGATTCAAACCAATGGCTCTAACTGAGCGAGATATTGATTGGGTGACTGACTTTACTGATCTCACAGTGGAGAAATTTGCTCGTTACATCGGCTCAAATAGTCAAAAAGAAGGAGAAGGTGGTACCAAAGGAAGAAGTGCCCATCTCCACAGTCTATGGGCAAGAGGCAGCATACACCCTGGACAGCTCACCACCTTGTCTCAGGGCTACACAGACACATAGACAAACAACCATGCACACATACACTCACATCTAAGGACACTTTTAGGGATGTTTGGTTAGACTGCAATACCCCATACCCATCTAGTTTACCGACCTTTCTTTCAAAGAAGCCAAATGACCCCATTCCAAACGGGTGGACCCCTTCGTCTGTTCCAATTTGCATGTTTTCAAAACAAAAACAAAGCTTTGTCGGGCTATTGTATAAAACCTCAAACCCAACGCTATTCCTGACATTTTAAATTGAAAAAGATTCCTGGATGGGAAGCAAAACGTCTTCAAACTTGGAAACCAAGTCCAGTGGATTGTCTTCTAATTTTTTGGGGGATAGAGTGAGGAGAAGATACACTATATTGCCAAAAGTATTTGCTCACCCATCCAAATTATTGGAATCAGGTGTTCCAATCACTTCCATGGCCACAGGTGTATAAATTCAAGCACCTAGGCATGCAGACTGTTTTTACAAACATTTGTGAAAGAATGGGTCGCTCTCAGGAGCTCAGTGAATTCCAGCGTGGAACTGTGATAGGATGCCACCTGTGCAACAAATCCAGTCGTGAAATTTCCTCGCTCCTAAATATTCCACAGTCAACTGTCAGCTGTATTATAAGAAAATGGAAGTGTTTGGGAACGACAGCAACTCAGCCACGAAGTGGTAGGCCACGTAAACTGACGGAGCGGGGTCAGCGGATGCTGAAGCGCATAGTGCGAAGAGGTCGCCAACTTTCTGCAGAGTCAATCACTACAGACCTCCAAACTTCATGTGGCCTTCAGATTAGCTCAAGAACAGTGCGCAGAGAGCTTCATGGAATGGGTTTCCATGGTCGAGCAGCTGCATCCAAGCCATACATCACCAAGTGCAATGCAAAGCGTCGGATGCGGTGGTGTAAAGCACGCCGCCACTGGACTCTAGAGCAGTGGAGACGCGTTCTCTGGAGTGACGAATCGCGCTTCTCCATCTGGCAATCTGATGGACAGGTCTGGGTTTGGCGGTTGCCAGGAGAACGGTACTTGTCTGACTGCATTGTGCCAAGTGTAAAGTTTGGTGGAGGGGGGATTATGGTGTGGGGTTGTTTTTCAGGAGCTGGGCTTGGCCCCTTAGTTCCAGTGAAAGGAACTCTGAATGCTTCAGCATACCAAGACATTTTGGACAATTCCATGCTCCCAACTTTGTGGGAACAGTTTGGAGCTGGCCCCTTCCTCTTCCAACATGACTGTGCACCAGTGCACAAAGCAAGGTCCATAAAGACATGGATGACAGAGTCTGGTGTGGATGAACTTGACTGGCCTGCACAGAGTCCTGACCTCAACCCGATAGAACACCTTTGGGATGAATTAGAGCGGAGACTGAGAGCCAGGCCTTCTCGTCCAACATCAGTGTGCGACCTCACAAATGCGCTTCTGGAAGAATGGTCAAAAATTCCCATAAACACACTCCTAAACCTTGTGGACAGCCTTCCCAGAAGAGTTGAAGCTGTTCTAGCTGCAAAGGGTGGACCGACGTCATATTGAACCCTATGGATTAGGAACGGGATGTCACTTAAGCTCATATGTGAGTCAAGGCAGGTGAGCAAATACTTTTGGCAATATAGTGTATGTTGAAAACATTTACTTTTAATACATCTTTATTGTTTTCCAAACCAGCATTATAAAACATCACCTCACCATTTTTCACTCATAGCTGGGTTGTTTTATTTCCTCTAGATAACGTCCAAAAAACATCCTGCGACGAATTGTAGACACAAAAACAAATGAATAATTCTGTCTGCGTCACATTTCCCAGTTTATTATACAATATTTTTACATTTCAAATAACAGTTTATGGACCTCGATTATCTGTCCTTCGGGGGGTTTTGATTGATGCGCCTCCTGTGATACCTGTGAACAGTGGAGAACATTGTTTAATCAACATTTTGCAAAGAATCCTTTAAAAAAAAGTTTACTTGTATTAGGGATGCTTCTTTTGCACAAACTCCAGAGAGTTCCAGCATGGGTATAAATAAAATGATTTCTAGATATTTCTTGTAAAACATTTTAAAAACCTTACATCAATTTCCTTCCAGCACACATGCATGAACTATTCTATTATCAATAAAATCCCAATAACAGAGTGAATTCTGGTTTAAATGTGAAACCTCCAAGGTTTAAAAATATTTTAAAAAGACACTTTTTGTAAAAAAGTTTTAACACTCACTGTCCTTTTGGATAAAACCGATGTTTTGTGGTGAAAAACATCTTGCTCAGCTCCTCTATAGTCGGTCCCTCTTTGCCCTTCAGCACCTCTTTGCTGAGGTGGGCTTTCAGAACCTGATCGTGGGTTTCTGCCGGCACAGTCAAAGGGTCTTGTCGCTCTATGGGCTGCAGATACATAAACATTAAGATGTTTTATACAACAGTTCTAACACCTTTCCAAAAAAAAAACCCTCATTGGTTATTCTTTGACATAAATATATGTTAGTGTTTGGTATTTAAAGTGTGTGAGCATACCTGGGTGAGTTCATATGGAACGTCGACGGCAGGGTGGTAGCATACTATGGTTTTTCCATCGGAAGTAACGCCTATTTTCACCTCACTGCGAGATAGAAATTGGAAAATTAACCTTTAGGATGCTGTCTTTTTTTTTTTTTTTGTTTAAGCTACAAACACAAACCTTAATTAAAATAAACATCCCGATTTCCACTGAAATGTATATCTGCAAGAATCAAAATTTTGGTCAATCTCTTACATGACTCATAACTCCAGGAATTAACGTTTCTTTTTGAAATACTCCTCCTCTATTATATTATCTACTATCAATAATACAGATCCTTGTAAAGATGGTAAATTTAGACATTTATCCCTACAATCACAACCAATTGTTTTGAAACCAACTAAAGGTTTGGTTTCTTAACCATAGCAAACCTTTTAGGCATACGTTTCTATTACAATCAAAGATACAATTTGTTATCTTTGGGCTACTTGGTTATTAACTTTTCCTGGTAACCTGGCAATCCACTGTGCTAGAAAAATAATTAACATTTTTTTCTGGACAGTGGAAAAGGTTAGCTCTTGGAAGCCGATTCAGTCCGTAAAAGTAAAAAAAAAAACCACTGGACTTGGTTCCCAAGATCTGAAGACGTTTCGCCACCTCTCCAGGAAGCTTTCTCAATTCAAATGTCTGGAGAGGTGGCGAAACATCTTCAAATCTTGGGAAACCAAGTCCAGTGGATTTTGTTTTTTTGACTTTTACGGAATTACTTGACCTGGATGACTGAGAATCTTCATCAGCATACAGCCACTTCAGTGGATTTGGGAGGATTTCTGCTCACTTTCACTTGTCCAACAAATGTAAGAAGCTAACGTTACTTTGTCTTGGCATTTTCTGTTCTTGATTTTTTTTTTTCTGTATAAGATGATGCTCACAATGTATGTAGAAGTAGTCAAATCCTGCCTGCTGCTGCTGCTTATGAACACACTCTGCACTGGCGGCAACCTCACTTCCTTTTTTCTTCCGCTTCTTTTGTTTAAGCTCTAGTCCTATAAGGCCAGAGTCTTGTTTTTACACACATTTCTATTTCAATACATGTAATCATTAGGAGGACTAGTTAGCCGAATGATTTAGGTGAGCTGGAACACAACACAACTCAAAGCCACAGTATCTTGACTAGGGCTAGGTAAAAAGATTGACTTAATTGATTTTGGATCGATTCCTTTAGATTTTTGCAAAATCGATGTATAGGGAATGAGATTGATTAGTTTTATAGTGACGCTCGTGACGTTCATATTCAAATGAGCAGGCCTGTGCAAATGCTGATCCAAGTAACACACCGCTCAGCAAGCTGTCCCAGCTGAAGTCTGATATCTGGAACCATTTTGGATTTAAAACAGCTAAAGATAATGTGCTGGATATGTGATATTAAGGCGACTTCCCACTACATTGATAATGAATGGCGCCTCGGATCTCGTGCAACAGATCACCAAAATTAATTCAAGCCAGACAGCTGCAAATAATAGTTTGAATAAAGACAATAACAAATGGGGGCTGACCAGCAAACACCCTGTAGTTGTTACAGACAAGCTGCAAATATGGTTTGTGAAGTGAAGATAATGCAGCTCATGCATGTCCGCTGTGTCACATCTGCTTGCTCATGTGAGGCTTCTCTTTTTCACTTTTCACAAACAAGTTTGCACTTTTGAGACAGTTTTGTTCACATCTTAAGTTTAAACTGTCTGGTTTACAAGTTTGCACTTTTTGTTTATATGACAGGAAAAAATAAAATACATAAGTATTTTGAAACACAGTTGAACCACTTGTTTTAAAAACAGATTGAATCGCAATTAATCGATTTCAAATAAATCAAATAAATTCAAGACTTTGGCAAAAATACCCAGCCCTAATCTCGACACTAAGCGTGTCGTTTGAGATCCTCCAAGTACAAAAACCTTTGCAGAGGATGATTGTTTGCAATTAATACTATTTTCCTTGCAGCCAGATGCTGCAGTTCGCTCCTGTATCTACGTCCCCATTAACAATTTGATGTCAAAGGATCTTATCAGGTATATAAAAACTGTTTTTTTCAGCAGCTTCAAACAAAGTGCAAGTGATTTTCCAGTGAGTTTTCAGTTGATTGCATTTTGTTTACAGTCACTAACCAATTATGGCCTTGGGGTGAGGAAGGGTCAACAGTAGATTTCTGTCGAAGTGGCACCAAACAACCTGCAACAATACAAACAGGCTTGACAACCCAGATCCAAACAAGTGATCATAGTCCACTAAATGTGGGACAAAATTAAATTTAAACTGGAAAATTATAAGATGGTTCATTAACTAACAATGAGTATGATTTTAACTTGAAAATAATCTGAAAATATTTAAAACCTCCAAAATATGTGCTTTTACGTCAGATGTTGGTATGAATCAAAGAAACCACCGTTATATTTAAACAATTTGTTATATTCTAAACATAAAATAATGTTTAGGAGATGAAAAACTGACACAGGACTCCTGGAACATACGTCAAGGTTAGCTTATCGTTAGCTTTAGCAGCCACCATCACTTTTTAAAAAGCTTTAAATGGGAAACCCAGTTACGACAGCGGTCATCAGTTTAAAACAAACAAAAAATTACTTACTTTGCACATTTTGCAGCGTAGCAGCGTATGAAAGTCGCGTTAAAACACCGTGCAGCTTACACAAATGACCCGACGCCATGGTGCTGTTACTTTAAAGTGTGCATCGTTGTAATTGTTCCGTCTAAGCAACCGGATCAAAGGTTCCGCTTCATGGAAAATAAAATTAAAAAAAGATTGAATCCTTCAATGCACCACAAGATCCTTTATTCAAAACTTACTTGTATTCATGATACATTGTGACTGATTTTATATGGGCTTCACTAATGCTTTAGTTATAATTTCTGAAAAATGGGAACAAGTACATCAGTTACTATTACAGATACTTTTTCTATATTTTAATTTAAAGAGAAAGGAAAACTGACAAAGATCTGAGAAACTATCCCCTACTTTAGTATATCTATAAAAACACAATTGCTCTCTCTACTTAATAATCTCATCTAATTATTTCGATTTCCATTTTATTAAAAGGCTTGTGCTCCAGTCTTTCTAAACACAATTGCAAACATGTTAATCAGGCTTTATTTATTTTTATTATTTTTTACAGTATCCTGTCTGGTGATGTGGTAATAAGAATAACTGTCTTGATGCAAAAAGAGCCCAACAGATATTACTTTCACAAGTGGAGTAGTACGGCTATCGCCATAGTGCTCCGCTTGATTTATGCATATAAATTGCTTTATTATAATTATGCAGAGAGTTTTACAGATTATATGGACACTGCAATGTAGGTAGAACAGGAAAGGAAAAACAGAAAAAATGAGAAAAGATGAAAGAAAGAGGAGATAAAAGGGAGATAACCATAAGATAATCAGGCTTATTTTTTTTAAACAAAGTGTGTGCAGCTTTGTCCATTTCTGTCCCTCTCACAGCAGAGAGGAAGCTTGCCGTTTCCAGGGTAACACAGTTTATTTACAGGCTGGGCTGCTGTATCCAGAAGATCACAAAGAGACCTGAATGTTTGCCGAGGGAGCTGATGTGGTGGCCTGGGTTTGCTTAGACATAGACAGATTTTATTGTCATTTTGTATACTCAGAGTGTATACAAAAAGAAAGAGTGGAAAAAGCTGTCATGCACACTTGGCCCCAAAACACCTTGCTCATTAAGCGCTTACTATAACGGGGACAGTTATGTTTCGAGAGAAAGTACCAATAAATAGCAATTTTCATCCAAAGATAAGCTCAAGGCAGCATCAGCTTTACCTACTGCAGCATCACTTATGTCAATGTAAGGTATTTTTTGACACCATTAATGATGTTGTCTCCTTCACCACATTATGCTACGTTGCTTTCTAAGGAGGAATGCAGCACATTTCATAACTTTCTTGTGAAGTTCTAATTCTAATTCTTTTGATTTATCCTACAAACATCTGTAATAAATGCAGCTGTGTGCTTTTAATTTAAATGCTCTGCTTGTATAATGACCAATCTAGAATTGGTCCTTCATTATGGTCAATGACCATAACATTTTACTAAATAGGTTGAGGGATTTTACTGGTATCTCCGGGAATGCTCTTGAAAGGTTTCAGTTTTGGTGAATAAGTATAGTTTGCAGTTATTATATATTTATTGCCAACCTTGTCGGGGTGGCAAATTTGACCTTTAACCAAATAATATTGGGATTGTCGTATACTGTTCTTTGCAAACACGCCCAACTGGCTGCATGTTAGAACAACAAATGCAAGTGTGAAACAAGCTCAAATCATGTTCAAACAGTTAACTCTGCACTTATGTAGAATAAGTTCACTTTTAAAACAAACAACTTCTATTCAAATTATAACAGTTTATTTAAAAAAAAAATCATTCAGCTCCAAGTCAAACATATTTCAGTTACAAGCTTTTGACTATACTGGTGAAACTCAACTAAAATAAGCTACCATGTACATAAAGAAGAAGGGAAAACATGGTCGAAAACCATCAATAAAATGGTGAAATTATTTCACAGTTCAGCACGGATGTTATGTTTAAGAACCAAAGAGGAAATTAGCTTTTGACTGATTTAGAGCAATTGTTATGCAATTTGTTCAAACCAATCCTCAATGCAATTTCAAGAGGTATATAAAATGTTATTAGGCAAAATAATGTTTTATTGAATTAAATCAATAACCTTTAGTTAAGTCCTATTAAATGACATTCCACCATAATTTGGTAATCAAAATGTAATGCGCTTATGAGAAAACACAAATCATCCATTCATCTTGTCCCATTTATTCCGTCAGGGTTGCCTGGGGCCAGTTAACCAGCAGTCTCTGGGCTAGAGACAGGATACACCCTGGACAGGTCCATAGTCTGTCGCAGGGCAACATAGATACACACGAAGATATACAACCATGCAGACACATTTACACCAATTAACCTAGCAGCCATGTTTTTGAACTGCAGGAGTAGGCTGGAGTGCCCGGAGAGAGTGCCCTGAGCATTAGTGACACATGCACAGGGAGAACATGCAAACTCCATACAGAAAAACCCAGAGGGATCGAACTCAGCGCTTATTTGCTGCAAGGCAACGTTGCTACAAACTGCACCAAAGCGCAGGTCAGTGTTTAAACCCTTAGTGAAATAAAGGTTGTTTTAGCTTAATGGTGGTGTAGCATGCGCCGCAACCAGTTAGCGTGTCTTTACCCAAGCGTAAATACATTAAATGATTAAGAATGATCAATTAAACCAGGGGAAGGTTGCAGAAGGAGAGGAGAGTCCACACCAGCCAACTGTGGAGCCAAACTGCACCCCCCTAACCCAATGGTTATGTTAAATATCAGTATGGACATTGCTTCTCAATGTTCAAGATTAATACCTGTTATGTTTGTGGCCTATCTACTGGAGTGTGTTTATTTTCCTCTCTTCCTTCTGCTCTGATTACTTATTAGGTCCTCCTGTGATGCTCCTGTTCAGTCGCTTCTGCCCCCGGATCTACAAGCTCTGCCAACCTATCAGGTTTGTCCCCAGAGGATTTCTGAATGGATCTTGGCAAAAGTCCCCATCTGCAAAAACCCAATTCTCCTTATCAACTTTAAGGAATCTAAGCTCTGGATTTTAAATACTCCTGGATTCAGAACAAGGTTAGTGGCTCTCTGTCTTTATTTAAAAGATCCACTGAATCATCAGTATAGCCACTAATCTGCTCTCTGCTTTCAAGTGGTTCCTGCTTCCTTGGTTTAAACTGTTCCCCATTTCTCTGTAACATTCAAATAATACACCTACTTACCGTCCACTGTTGTTTCTGGTTGTATTTGGGTCCACAGCCTGAATCGTGACAATATCATGGTTTATGGCACAACAAGCACATCTCCAGAGCGTTCTCTCTTACCTGTGGGGTTCCACAGGGGTTATTTCTGGGTCCTCTATTTTGCATTGTATATGCTGACTTTGTTGAATCTTTTAATAATATTATGTATTACTTTTATGTGGAGGATGATCAGCTATATGTGTCTTTTGAAACTCATCAGCCCAGCAGACTATCCATCCATGTTTATCCAAGATTGTGATTGGCTTTCTAACAAACACCATGTTATAGCATCTCCTGCACTTAGTTCAAAAGTCAGTCAGTCTCTTGCTTGACATATGTCCAACTTGGAAGTCAAGTATCCAAAATCTAGGTTTAATTTTCAATTCTTTTTTTTTGGATCTTGACTCTGATGTAAAATCTCTGTTTTGTTCCTGTTTGAGGTGTTAACTCTTGACAACACAGTTACTATGGATTTGGATGATAATGTTTCCTTGCAAGTTAAAAATGTAGTTATTTAATAAAATAATCCAAATCATTCTAGAATAAAGTTGGGACTAAGTACTTGTCAGTTTAGCTTTATGCAAAAATGTCATTTAATGACAGTGCACCAGCTTTGGCTTGTTGGTTAGGAATGCCTCAAATCTTGACACGTTTGTTAGATGAGATGATCAACGTTTTATCTGGCTTCTGAGGTTCAAACTTACAACAGTTAAAAAAAGACATGAAGTTCAAACTTAATCTTATCCCACCACAAACAATACACACAGAAAAACCTGTCTAGAATATGTTTTAGTCAACATCTTTGTTGTGCGTGTAGAGTGAACAGTGGTTTATCTAGACAGTAGATAAACTTGGCCTCTGTGCTGTACTGAAACACAGACGCAGATCATAGTCCAGCACTGAGGTTAAATAAGTTGAACAGAAAAATACTTGAGCCACACATCGTAAAATATATTTGAGGCTTGGAGTATTTACCAGGAAGTTGAATGGGGAAAAGCGGTTCTACACCAGAGGCTCCACTTGACTACTAACCCTGCCTACAGCTGCAATCTGGACTGGCCGTCATGAGGGATAGCTGTCCTAAATGAAAAACTATTACATAAGATCTTTTACTGAAGAAAGGGTGCAACTTATGTTAACTTATATGATCCAGGGACACAATTTTAACATCTGGACCTGGAGCATGAGAGGGTGGTTGTTAACCAACTTCCAAAGGCTGTTGACTCCGAGGTAAATTTAAAATGTTTCAGCGTCATAGGATACCTTTTCTGCCTTTTTCCCCAGAGTTGAGGCTGGCTTGCCTTGAGACAGACAGATGATCTGTCTGATCTACAGGTTACCAGAGAGAATGATGACAAGAAAGTACAGAAAAGGGAAGCAGTCAAGGCCTCCATTTAAACCCAGGTACTTTGTTTCTTTTAAAGGGAAAGTTCAGGTTTTTAGACATGAAGTTGTGTGAAATGTTCACCATCTGTAGCTAAGATGCAACATTATCAATACCGTATCCAAGGCTCCTATGAAAATCAGCCGGTAACGTAACGGAAGAAAAGTATTTCATGTACTGTATAGGAATGATGTGAATCAGAGGTGTTTAAGCTAGAATTTTAGACTATTTCAACAATTGGAGTATTATATATATATATATATATATATATATATATATATATATATATATATATGGTGTATAGTCAGTTAAATAACCTGCTGCTGTCATTTTGCACATCGCTGATGTTGCTGCTATTTTTAAATATCCATTACTGTAAAAATGTCCATAACTTGATATTGGTTATTTATTCTCCAGGTGCACAGTTTTATATTGTTAAAACACTTTACAGTGCAGGATTTTATTGTTTATCTTTTAACTCTTCACTATTACCGGTATGTTATTCTTAGATATTTTTTC